CAAGATATAAACACCGATCATGTCAAAGCGTGTTTTAAACCTTGTTTCTCAGCTGTTGGGACAGATGAGCATGGCAAAGAAACAGAAATTGTGTACAAATGGCAACAGTTTTTGAAAAAATCCAAAAGTGGTAAATTAAAATCTAAGGTGCTTGCTTGCCCAGATTGGAATAATCCTGATCAGGCTATAAGTGTAGATGATTCACCAGTTGTTAAAAGTCTTTCCCTAAATGATATATTACAGTTTGGGAGTAGTTCACGATTCCCTAATTTTAAAGGCTCTCTAGCATTTGATCACCAGTGTACTGATGCACATAAGAGGCTAACTGGTAATACCTGTGCTTTAACCATTTGCATACCGGTAAATGAGAGGTACACAAAATGTAACACAGACACATTTGCCTTAAATATCATGGAAGACATATTTCAAGACTATGGACTTGGGCAGAGATAGGTTCACCATATTTAATGCTCTATAACAAAATGTTGTGTTGTGTTTATTAATTAAGAATAAGTAAATTGGTAGCTTGTTCTATGTTGCAGACTGTAAATCACCTATTTGTGCCCTCTCCCAGCATCCCCAATTTCAACAAAGAAAAGCATGTTTATTGACTTAATTCATTTACTGTTTGGAAAGAAATACATGTTTAATTATCTGCTACCCCTAGGTACCCCAATGCACCTCTGAAATAAGGGAGATTATTATTAATAGATGATTTACAGTAACTATGTTACAGGTAATATAAAGATGTTCACATTCAAGAATAAAATGTTCTGTTCAACTAATATTGTTATGTTCAGAAACACTGTTTTTGTTGAGTTCTGCCACTGAAAAACATTGATGATTTACAATTATTTATCAATAGTTTTTGAGCTCTATTAAATAGACTGAATACTTTATTTTCCATTTATTTATGTCAGATGCATAAATGTTTTTCTATGAATAACCCAAAAATAACACCAAAATATTTTTGTAAACAATTGGCAATTATGTGCTTGGTAGCACTCAAAGTTAATTAGCTTCTGTTAGCCCTGTAGCAAAATTAACTAGTGACTGAAATAGTTCTCCAGCTTCAAAGATTGTAGTGGGGTATGTTAGTCCATTATTTTCCATAACATAATGAAAATATTCTTCCCAAACCTCATCTGTTTCCTCTTCTCTTGACCCCCCCAGAATTTGTTGTTCTACTTCTTCTAACTTGCATAGTGGAACTTGTGCTAGGCAGTCTTGCCTGTCTCCTCCTGATTGTTCAGGGAGGAAATAGAGAATATCTGGAACGCCAGGTACGGTCGTTTCATGGGATTTCCTTATCCTATGTGAATTCCAGTGCTGTTTTGCTTTGTCTAGATCTGTTTGAAAAACATCTGCAAAACAGAACCATAGTGCCTCTTTATGGATGTCGTTTGTCATGTCAAGAATACCTGACTGCAAAAGGTCAGCAAAAAAATCGATCCACCAGCTAGAACGTAGCTTTCTTAGTGAAGACCAGTAGCACTCTATTCTTTGGTTTCTGGGACTTGATAAATACTGGTGAGCTTTTGATCCAGAAAATTCATCTTGCTGATTGGCGCGAAGATAACATTGCATGGCAGCAATTAAACCATTTTCGGTTCCACGGTCAGTTAAAAGACGGATAGGGCATCCCCCTGTGGCTTTGACGTAATCGAAAAAATACCTGGCAATAACCTTTGGGTTTTTGTTTGACCGTTGAACTTGCAGCCACAATATTCTCTTATAACTAGACTTAGACTCCCACAATAGACTTATAGATCATATCTCCAGCAAACTGAATGAGCTACAGTATGGTTTTCAAAGAGGCAAGTCTACCACTTCCCAGCTTTTACATGTTCTTCACAACATTCATGAAATGCTTGAAAAAAGATGCCAAGTTGACACGATTTACCTCGACTTTGCGAAAGCATTTGACAAAGTAAGTCATGACCTTTTACTTGTGAAACTCCATAACTTTGGCATCAAAGGTAATCTTCTTCGTTGGTTCAAAGATTATCTTTCTGGGCGTTTTCAAAGAGTCACTGTACATGGTGTTACATCTCAGCCGCTCCCAGTACTATCCGGTGTTCCCCAAGGATCAATTCTTGGACCAATCCTCTTTCTTATCTACGTAAACGATCTTCCCGATAGCGTCTCCCAAGATACTGCCGTGTCAATGTTTGCTGATGATACTAAATGTCATCGCGCTGTTCGTAACCCCCAAGACAGAGTAATCCTACAGTCAGATCTTAACAATATTACGAACTGGTGTCAAGACTGGAGGATGGATTTAAATAAATCCAAGTGCGGAGTTCTTCAATTTACTCGTTGTCTCCAACCTACTATCAACCAGTACACATTAGCTGACATCCCAGTCAAACCTTTAACCTGTGTAAAAGATCTTGGCGTAAGTATCACCAAAGATATGAAGTGGAACCAGCACGTACAGGACTTATCCTCAAAAGCTAACAAAATGCTGGGTTTTGTCAAGAGAACAGCGTCCGGCATTCACGATAAAAGAGTTCGAAAGATACTGTACTTGACCATCGTTCGAAGCCAGCTAGCTTACAGTAGTCAAGTGTGGGCACCCCAAACTGTCAACAACATCCTAACGATCGAACGGTTGCAGCGACGTGCATCAAAATTTATTCTTTCGCTCCCGTACAAAACATCTATCCCGTATAAGAAACGATTGGCCACCATCGAAATCCTCCCTCTAAGTTACTGGCATGAGTATTTAGATATGGTGTATCTTCACAAATCCTTATAAATAACTCTGACAATAACATATCTATAAAGATCCCTACACGAGAAACAAGAAATACTAGTTCAACTAACGGCATCCTACTTCATGTAACCAAAAGTAAAACTGTTTCTTTTCAAAACAGCTTTTACATCAGAGCTGCTAATGTATGGAACACGCTTCCCGGCTTCATAAGAAATACCACCACATCTCTACCTACATTTAAATGTAATCTAATGAAATACTACGTAGAATTAACCCAACAAATTTATGACCCTGAAGACCCAAGAACATTTAAGTCTGTGTGTATTAAATGTCACACCACTCGCCCACTAATGAACTTATCAACTCGAACATGTTGCTAAATTTAGTTTTTGTTCGTTTGTTCATCAATACATTTGCTTTGTCTTCTTGTATTTGTGTTTAATTGTTATGTTTGCTTTAACTTCAAAATAATTAGATATACCATTAGTTGTTCTTTTTTGGAACCCCGTTATTGGAGAACTATCTCTGTGTGGAAATTCCAGTCATTTGTATAACCATAGTACTCTATATAGCTCTATTGCAATGACAAACTTGTAAAATAAATAAATAAAAACAAAACTCTTTACGATCTTGAACCACCCGTTTTATAACATTTAAACATTCGCTATCGTTTATTATTTCCAAAGGCTCTTGTAAACCGTGATCACATATATCATCCATATCTACCACTTTCGAAGCACTCTTAACAACTCGTCCGAATACAGCACGCGTGTGAGCGCACAAAGTTTTCTGCGCGATGTTTCAATATTTGTATTTTTAAACTCTAGGAAAAAACGGTTTAACCCTTTTTTTATACGGTCAATTTCGTTAGGATACCAAAACGAGCCCGCAACGGGTATTAAATGAAATATACATGTGCATGTTTCACTTATTTTCAACCGTTTTACATCATAAAATACACGGTCATCATCCTCTGGCGACAAGCTACAGACCCGCCAAGTGTTGTGATCAACACGGTTTGATAAATAAACAAACGATTTTGTATAATATACTTCCCCTTTAAGCAACACTGCAAAGGGTCGGTAGGGCTCAAGGCAAAGGGTACGTCTTATACACCAACATAATACACAGTCTTTTTCCATTATCCACACACCATTTTCCATCCTACAAAAAGATTTTTTTCCGTTTATAATTTTACCCCAAAAAATCAAAACAAAACAAAATCACTACCACACACCCATTTTATTTTGTTATAAATCTTTTACAATCTCATCTATTTCGTTTAATATATTCTGATTAACAGCTATCCCGTGACTACTAATCCAAAATGTTTGCACAGCATCTATGTCGCGTGCACGCAAAAAATGTCGAACAACAGCCTCTATAGTTTTTCTCAACTTCGCATGCAAACCATACACGCGCACGTTTACGCATACGCAATCATGTCGTAGGGATATATTTACAGCTACAGCAATTGGTCCCTTCGGTGTCCGTCCCGCATACTTGTAACCATAATAATTTAAAATCATAGTCTTCGCGTTGGGATAACCATGTCTTCCACGCAAAGTTACAAGCGCTTCAATTTTTTTACAAAGGGTTTTCACTTGCATTATGGGTGGTCTGTCCCGACACTCGTAACTCGCTTGTCTTATACCAAAATGCATTTCTAAGAAGAAATAAATAAATTTGTAACAGTTCTTTGCGCGTAAAAATCTTTGGCAACCGAATCAAATTCATATAATACAGTGTCGTCAACAGCAACCCTGTGAGTGTCAATCCAGGATATTTGTATTTCATCCATATCTTTAACAATGTCATACGCAAGCATATCACAAATAAATTCCTCTATATTTTCTTTCATCTTTCTAGTTACAAAAGAGACAAGAGAGACAGCAGAGACAGTTGCGCATACACTTTCTTCTTGCAAAAATATAGTTATTTGTGCATTGCTTACTCCTCTTTGATCGTACCCCCAACACTTTAAAATCATATTCACCACGTTGTCTGGTGAATCATAACAGGCGCGTATAGTTACAAATGCATCGATTTTTTTACACAGATTTCGTGCTTGTATTACAGGCTTTCCATAGCAGCTAGTCATTATTCTCGGGTCGAAATGCATATTGTCTAAGGAGAAATAATAAATCTGGTGTCACTAACACACCGCAATCTCTCGCAATTTGTTGGTATAGTTTCACACAACACATATCCCCCAACAACCGCGCCAACAATACTTCGCGGGACAACGAGTCTATAAAACACTGTTGTACGACGTGCGACATTACATTGGCAGGATTTATATCCTGCAATTCAAACGCGTCTGCAAAGTTTATCGCACCGTCTTTTGAAACATGTATAAAACCATTATAGCGTGTATGAGACAATTGTTCAAGCATAAGTACCAGACAACCAATGTGCGCCATCTTCTGAAAAGCATTCCGGGCTATTCAAGCAAATCACATGTCTGATATCTTGTAAAACACAACCGTACACATGGAAATTCGATCTAAACGGTATTGTTAATGGATCTATAACACGAACCTGATAGTCGGGTCGAAAAAAAAAACCCTCAATATTTTTGCTATGCGAAATATAATCTTCCATACCTTTAAAATTCTTCGCTTTCTCCTGGGAACCAATCGGTTACGGTGGTCGAATGATAACTATGTTGAGGTAGTTTCGTGCAATTTGTCAACAATGAAACCAACACATCTCGAATAATTCTCACACCCTCCTGTGTCTCAGTTATAAACAATGTGGTATAAAACACGCATAATACCAATACCAAAAATAACGTCACAACGACCCTTACATTGACTCGTACATCCCTCACCTTGACCATGATTCTGAAAACAAACACGTAATTACCCATATTTGGTCAATACTACTTTGACTGTGGTTCTAAAGACATACGCGTAATTACCCATATTTGATCAATACTACCCAACCCCGATTTTAAAGACAAACACATTATTGACCATATTTGGTCATTGCGATGCATGATTGTTTAAAAACGTAGTCCATATTAGGTAATCGTATCTCAGGGGATGTTAAAAAATATCACATCCCGATCCATATTTGGATAATTGCGTCGCAAATTCTTGTTATCAATATTACACCGACGCGTATCATAATCATTCTACACACAACAAGTTTACGAGATGGATCAATTTGCAAGCTTTGTGGACTATTTGGGGTTTTCTCTAACCGACGAAAATTATTCCGCATACCAAGATTTATTTCGCAGTTTTCAACAATTTTGTAACACGAATCCAAATATTTCACGGGAATTACAATTTATACGTTGGCATCGTCAATACTCGACTGTTACACAACCAACTGTACCCCTTCTTCGACCTGATCCAATCCACCTTCCCACGAAACTGGCAACATTACCCAATCAAACTTGCTTTAATACCTTCATGCTAGAACAACCCGCTACAACACCGCTGCACAACTCACCGCATACAAACATGGTCGTGAAAAATAAATCCGACACACCAATTGACCAAAACGTGCTTGATACAACCCTGCTAGAAGTCTTAAACGAATCTAGCGAAGATAATGAAATACTCGCAAACTCGGAACCCGTACAAGAACAACACGAAATTACGAACATTGTCTTCGAGACTGATGGTCCCCCATTCCAAAAAAACACCAACACCGTAATCGGTGGTTATGGTCTGGGTAAAAATATCGCTGTGTTACAAGACGAACATGAATCACGGAAAAGAAAACAAACCAAACGACGACGCACAAAAACGGGCGTTAGAGGATCGGGTCGGCCCACCAACGATAAAAGCATCATGCGTGTAGTCAACGACGGGGACGAAGATGTCAAGACCGAAGCCGTGCTGGCATTAAAGGAATTACGCCTATTGACTTCTACGGGGGTCGTACGCAAAAAAATGCCAATATACACCAAACATTCCGATGACATTAAGTGTTTCGCTATAAAACATTATAGCAGCTTTGAATATATTGCCGACCAGCGAAAAAAATCATTAGAAAAAATCAAAAAACACCGTGACATTTTACAACATTTGAACTATCTAGAGACGAACATGTTACCCTATATCGAACAAAACACTACATTTTAAATTTTACTTTACTCTATATGTTAATAAATCACCATCTATTAAAAATAAAACTTTGTAAATTATTAAAAAAGATGAATAAAATATTATGATGTAACATAAAACGTTGTTCTATTGAATGCCGCCAACGGGAAATGCGTCACATCTTCCGTGATGTCACTTCCGTTCGCACAGCATAAGGTCGCGCGCCAATTTCAAAACCGCTCATTACGGTCGACCAAGGCTTCGGCATCGCAGCTCGCCCGCGCATGCGCAACGCACACCATGCAAGCGGACGCCGCACGTCGCTCGACCACGCCCTGGACCACACCCAAAAAAAAGTCCCCCCCGTCCAGGCACACTTTTTTTTGACTATTTTTGCAACATCACCCGACTCTTTTACAATACTATCTTATAGTAAAATGAAAAAATTCCCCCCCCCCAAAAAAGTGGTCCTTTTCCGGTATTACTACTTGTGTTGATGAAGGACGAGAAGTTACAAGATTACCTTGCCCATCACCTAATCAAGTGGAAATTTAATTTGGCTAAGGCACCCTGGTGGGGTGGACAATTCGAACGCTTAGTGGGAATCGTTAAACAAGCTCTTTATAAGTCGATTGGTCGAGCTATTCTGGATTTTGATGAATTGGAGGAAGTGTTACTCGATGTGGAGATTGCTGTTAATAACAGTCCCTTATCGTATGTTGAGTACGATGTTCAACTCCCAGTTTTGACCACGAACCTCATCATGTATGGTCAGTCAAATCTCCTACCTGAAGCAGATGTTGATTCTATTGAAGAAACCGATTTATGAAAGAAAGCCAGATACCTACGTCGTTGTAAGGACTTACTGTGGTCATGTTGTCAGAAGTCTAAAAGACATAACCTGAAACAGAAAAGCAAAAGTTTATCGCTGAAAGTTGGTGACGTAGTTCTAATTCAAAGTGACCAGAGAAATCATGGGAATATTAGAATCGTGGTGAAGCTGATCAAGGGAAGAGATGGAGTAATTCGTGCCGCCAGATTGAGAGCCGGGAAATCGTATATTGAACGAGCGATTCAACAATTATGCCCTATGGAGTTAAGCTGTGACATTACGAAGGGACAAGAAGAGCAAGCAGAGAGTTTAAATCCTTGAGCAAGAGAGTTCACGCCCAATAATAGTTGCAATATATATACTGCAATAATAATAAACTAGAAATAAACAGATGAGTCACAATGAAAATTTTAAAAATGTTCGTAGAAGCAGAAAACTCTAAAATTTCTGTCTATTCGTGTGACAGTCAGTGCGCATCTGACACTGTAAATTTGTGATATAGATTATACTATATTAAAAAAATATGATCAATAGAGACCAAGAAAAAGGCTACAGGCACAAGTAAAGTCTTACTATAATTACTGAATACAAATTACGTACGAAAGGTTTTAAAGTTTTAAGATAAATCACTGACAGACATTTCTCTGTTTGGCTCGAATCAAATGTTTACATTTGCTAATATTGGGCTCTAGTCCTAGACAAGCAAGACAATACTGTTTCATTTAAAAATCTTATAAACAAGACCCATAGTAACAAGTAAATAGGAGCAAAGCATATCAATGTTTACAAGAAAGAACAAATCGAATGGCATATTTTAAAAACATTACGATAAAATATATTTGTTATAAAACTGTGCTTGCAAGTGTGAAGAGAGCATTGAATAATAACACGAGAGAGTACTGCGAGTATAAACAATTTGCTTGGTTTCTTGACTTGACTGTTAGTAAAAATGTAAGAATGTTCTTGTAAATTCAAAGCAAAGAAAATAAACAAAAATTGGGTCGTTCCAGAAAAGATCCATACTACACCCACAGAGGAAATTTCTGCCGTCCGGAGGGGGAGGGGAGAAAAAATTGTTTCTGATAATAGTAAATGTATTAGGACATCCCGAAGGGGGTTGGGGGTAGGACTGTTCGGTATACCAATATACCGAAAATATCTGTATTAAATCAATATTGATACTGGATATTCAACCATACCAATATACCGAAATTTCCGATATACTGGAATTTTTCGATATACCATGTTAAATTTACCAACTATATGGCGAAACCACAACCTTTATTCTACTACTGAATGGCAATTCAAATGACTTTCTGCTGCAATGATTTAGAATTTCCACTGAGTATGTGTCGTTCGAAACACAGCTTTGAAATGATCGTTTTCCCTTTTAGATTTACTCAAAATTTCCTTCAGGTAAACCGGTATACCGGTAATATCGGTATAATTTTTTCGGTATACCGATACCGGAAATTTCTCATACCGAATATTCCTATTGGGGGGTTAACTTCCTATTTCCTCTGTGGAGGTGGTATGGATATTTTCTGGAATGATCCATTAGCAAGTATTTTGAACATAATAATTTGCAAAATTTATCTCGTAATATCTCGAAGCATGTTAATGTAATTTGATACCTTCCCCACAACCCCTTGGGTGCTAAATTTCTGACGAGGCATGTGACCAGCCGCAGCCAGGGTCTTTCCCATAGAAAGATCCTGGGAAGTTGGGTTACCTGGTACCACCTGATAAGGAGAACCATGTTCATATTGGTATGATAATACTTCTCCTACTTGGTTCTCGTGAATATTTTCCATTACAATGACTCAAAAGTATTATTTTTTTAGAAAACATATTAAACATCAATACACGCCATACAAAAATATATTATTGTTTTGATTCTACCCTTCCATTCACGTCATATGTGTCATGTTACCCAAAAGATAATTTTACATGAATACAAGCCAAGATGGCAGATGATATATAAATTAACAGTGAAATAACATGGATATAACTTCTGAACAAAAATGTTTCATACAGTATTATCATATTCATAGTCATATGAAGCAACACATTTAATAGAGACAAAAAATTTGTTGCCATTGTCCTTTTATAATAGAGAAATCATGCCCACAAAATATAGACAAGTTCCTGTTCAATTCATATAGGCCTATATTTTAAGCATCCTTTGACCATTTTGCGCTTTTACGCTTATTTATCCCCGAGCCGGCGGCGCGAAGCACCGTGCGAGGGTACTAATTCCGCCCGGCTATTTACACCCGGGTGTTTGAAAACATAGCGAAGTGCAAAGTTGTCCTCCATTATGTGATGGACGGTCTTCGATGTTATTGCGCATGCACGTGTAATAGCTCGCACTAAAATTCTAAAAATATTGTTTTTCATTTTGCAAAGATGTATTTTACAATATATTTCTTATATTTTACAATATATTTCTGCGACCTATTTCGCTATTTAACTGGAAAAAATCCTGCAGTTTCATGAATTAGTGGCTGTCAACCGTGAAACAAAGTGTGAAAGGCATGCATAAAGTTATAAACTGATAAACACGAATTTTGTCGAAGACGAACCACATCGATGTTTTTAATATAAAATTTAATCATTGTCTTGACTCTTGGCTATCTTGGTTAAGTGTTATAAACAATTCAGTATTAAAATTTCATACCGTACTTGCTTTGTGTTTTTGATTTCATTCATATCGGCGAAATTTTTATGCCATTTAACTCAATAAATAATATATTTTTACGCAAGCTGGTATTTACATGAAAATGTATAAATGTAGTGATTTTAAATGTTGTTTATTTGGGGCAATTAATACAGCGTATAGTGTTTTTATGCGTGTTTATAATGGTCTTTTACCTACAGCAAATATGGCTTCACCAAAGTATAACTCAAAAACTAGCTTTTGCTTATATAAAGCAAATATATTTTACCGTATTTTCGAGCAAACTACTGACTATACTGTCAACAAAACGAGTGTTTCAGTTTCCCCTGCAGTTCCACGGCAGAGTTTCGAAACGCTTAATACTGTTACATTTTACATTAACATTTAGCCGATTGAAAGCCACATGTGACATAAAACTACATTCCTTTGAATAACAAATTATGAAAATCAACCATTCTTTTGGTAAAAAGTCTCCTATTATTTTATATTATTATCTCCTATTATTTTCTCATATTATTTTCATGTTACCATAGCGACTATTAATATTTTGAACATGGAGTACTTTATGTTGAATGGAATTTCTATACTTCATCTGTTAAAAAAGGCGAGGGGGTTGCTGCATGCATGTATTTCTAGTATTAGCACTAAACAAAACAGTACCGTCTAAAAGTTATTTGTTGTTAATGGAAACAAAGTTTGAAATCAAAATCAACCGCCATGTACAAGCTTAATTATTAATAGAAAAATCATGCCGACAAAATATAGACAAGTTCCTGTTCAATCCATAAGATATTTTAACCATCCTTTGACCATTTTTGCTCTTTTATGCTTATTTATATTAAAAATAATCAAAACAAGATACTGCTCAAGTTATTTGTGGATAATCAGAAACCTAAAGCACAGTAATTTTATTTTATTTTACCACATGGGAACAGGTACAACTGGCAGATTTCGAGGCATTTAATAGCGGCATATTTGCGAGCCGTAAAACTATTTGAAACAATTATAAATCAGTCTTCTTACCTTGGTGATAAATACTTTTGTTATTTCAATCTAAGGACTCCAAATAGATCGACGTAGATATGCTGTAAAACATAATTTAGAATCAAACACACTTGATGATGCCACTTTGATCAATGCCTTTGTTTACACACATAATTTTTTTACGTATTAAAAGACAGTATCTACTTACGTTGAAGACGTTGACAAGCAGCTTCCCAGGGAAAAAATAAAAACAAATCGTTTTCTTGTAAAACTATTTTCTTGTTTACAACCTCGATTCTTCGACTGTATCACTGAGCGTTTGACAAAAATATCTGTCCCGTCAAGAAGAGATGTTATAATGATATCCGATGACGCATGTGAGCCTGCGATGTTTTGGGCACCTCGTATCCAGAGTAGGTACTTCATCTTGTTTGGATATAACGGAGCCAACACACAACACCGACGTAGTCATTCTCGTACCCAGAGCCCTTCTTACGCGCGGTGCGACGAGGGGCTCTGGCCAAATCCATATTCTGAACTGACATCTGATTGGCTAGTTCTAACACCGGACATTGTTTTCTTACCATGTTTTTATGGTATCCGGTTATGGATTTGGCCAGAGTCCCTCGTCGCACGCGCATAAGAAGGGCTCTGGGTATGAGAATGCGACATAGTTAATCAACCTCGATCCCAGGGAATTAATTAGTTAGTTTTAATGAAAAGTTTGATAAACCAGAAAAATTTTGAAAGATTTGACCAATATAAATGTCTAAGTATAGGCAATTTGTAATACCAAATATATGTGGAATTCTACATAATCGCAGCCTCGTACCCAGGCGCAATTAACTGAAAATAGGCACACTACAGTACTTTTATATAGATCAGTGGCTAAGATGAGCGAGCGAGCGCGGGTGCTTGGGGAGGACGCAACTGGAATGGGAGGCGCCTGGGAGAATTTGTTCGATAAGTGACAACAAATTGTCGATTTCTGAAATTTAGTTTAGAAATGTAGTTTTTAAGCGTTTTTGTGCATTTTGTGCCCAATTTCCGTGACAATGTGGACCAGACGGAGTGTAAAGACAGCCACATGAAGGTAATCTTTTTCTTTAAACATAATTAATAGGCATTTTTTAACCTTTATTTGAATTAATATACTGACTGAGTCTGTTAACTTTAATAATATGAGTCATTTTTAATATGATATACCTGTGTTATAATAGAATTGATATTAAAAACGAAAGGATTTTAGCTAAATATTATTTACATTATTTTATATGATGTAAAATAGCGATATATATTGTTATATCTCGAACTCATTAATAATTCATGAGCAAATTAGCGAATGAACTCACCCTAATTCGTCACATGATTGAGGTTGGATACCGCAAGGAAACACGCTAAAAATCATATACCATCACTGTTGTCAGATGAAAAACGGTTTTCATCTAATAACTGAGATCCTAATTACAAATTCAAGTCAAAACACAACAATATACTATAATAATATATATAAGCCAATGAAATGTTTTCGTTTGAGATGTTATGTAAACAACTCGTTTCTCGTGTTTCATCAGGGGACCAAACACTCGAAAACAATAAAACACTCGCACTTCGCGCTCGTGTTTCATACAGTTTTCTCGTGTTTGGATCCCCTGATGAAACACTCAAACTCGTTGTTTACATATAACATAAATCTGTTCAGTGTTGAATGCTGTTATATTTGTCTCTTTGGACTTTGGTTCATGCAATAACAACAATGTCAAAGCTAATTTTATATAAATTGCAATAGCAGCAAATTGCCACAACAAAATATTTGCTGTATTACCTGTATGCATTTTTAAAACACCTATTAAATCTTCTTTTGATAGCATCAGTAAGTTCTGATGATATATTTAATGCATCCTTTTCCCAACTTGATTTTGAAGAAGGTATTGTCTACTTATGTAGTTTAAGTTCCTAAGTCAGCAGACATTTGAATGCATCATGCATCACATTTTTGGTGATCTGAAGCATTATAATTACAAAGAAGTTTTAACGCTTCTCTTCGCAAGAAAATATTCCTATGTAGCTGAATCAATAGCTATAAAATAAAGTATTTTTTGAGCAGTTGCGGTATAACGTATAGTGTTGCGTAAGTTGGACTATTGTGCAAATTAGTAAATTGACACTTAGTTATTGAGGGATTTCCCCAGACAACGCTTTATGTAAAATATAAACTATAATCTTATTAATTTCGCGTGATGAATTAGCATTATTTGTGTGTAGGCATGATAACGCATTTTGTGGTAAGCGCTCCCTTCCCGCACCTCCCTTCCTTTACGTAGAAAATGAATAGTCATAGTTAAACGCCCACATTAGGTGGAGAGTATAAATGTAGAGAAAGTATCATAAAAATATCATAAATAAAATAGATTCTAACTGGATGTGTCGTTAGTGTGTTATTGAGAATCTCGCTATACAAAAAATAATGGCCGAAACTTCGAGTGATGGCAGCCGAAAGAAAGCAAAAGTTGATGGTTCTTTAGATGGTTCTTCCGCTTCTTCGCGTAAATTTGACGGTGCTGCGCGATTCAAGTCAAAATTTCAGCCATCCTGGTCAAAAAAGTGGCCTTGTATTATTGCTGTTCCTTGTTCACCAACTCAGTTCAGGTGTACGGTGGGAATCTGATGTACAAGGGGAATCTGATGTGACAAGACATATTCAAGGTGAAAAGCACCAGAAAAATGTACGAGCTAGGACCAATGCAGCGCCGTTAAGTTCATTTGGGTTTAATTCTACTTTGGATCCACTGAAAGATAACGTAATACATTAACATATTGTTGTAGTAATAGTGTATGTATATCAGTGCATGGTTGTTTAAAACAATTTGTTTTACTTCTAGTGAAATAATTAATTATAATAGTATTTTTCTAAAAGCTTATTCCATTTTTAGGTCACAACTGCAGAAATTAAAGTTGCTACACTCTTAGTTGAAAACAACATCCCTCTGGCATTTGCTGATAAGCTTAGTCCAATGTTTAAAGAGATATTTCCTGACAGCAACATAGCTAAGAACTACGACAGCGCAAGAAAGTAAGACAACTTGCATATTGAATGGAGCAATAGCTCCACACGTAAAACAGACATTAGTTGAACAGCTGAAATCCGGAGTTTTTAGCATGTCAACAGATGGTTCTAATGACAAAGACCTCGACAAAATGAATCCAATCACGGTAAAACTTTTTGACATTAATGCGTCAAGAGCGGTTACCCATTTCCTGGACATGGGAGTGACTCAGGGTGTGGATGCTGCTAAGGCTTCTACAATATTTGAAGCAATCGATGAAGTTATGACCGACAACAGTATACCCTGGAAAAACTGCATAGCCTTCTCTGTTGATAATACCAGTGCAAATCTTGGTCAGTTTAATTCTATTAATTATTTTATTCTGTTATTTTCTTGGATGTCCATGCCACATTCTTCATAATACCGCCAGCAAGGCCTCTTCGCAACTGAAGGAAGTTTCTGGGTTTGACATTGATAACTTGGCAGTGGATATTTTTTACTATTTTGACAAGTCAACCAAGCGAAAGGCTGCCCTTAGTGATTACACTCAATTTTGTGACTTAGTATATCGCAAGATGCTTAAGCATGTGACCACACGTTGGCTGAGTTTAAACACTTCTGTTAACTGCATATTAAGTGGCTACGAAGGTTTGAAGTCCTATTTCCTTTCAGAAGATGATGAAGATTCTAAAATCCCACGTTTTGCTAGGCTTCGAAAGCATTTTGAAAACCCGATGACTGAGATTTACTTGATGTTCTTTCAAGCTGTTATTCCCACCTTTACTACCATCAACAAATTCTTGCAGAGAGGAGAGCCAGTTATTCATCTGCTTTTCATGGCCAGAAATTCGAGACATGTGCCTGTCTTGCTCAGCGGGTTTCTTCATGATAATTTGATAGCGCACGACCTTTCCCAATGTGCATCAGTATGACAATAGCAAAATAAAATGGCCGAAACGAGAAGCCCCAAACATATCAATTTATTCGATTATAGGCAATTGCCCTTGTTTTCTTCGGCTGTTTTATACGACACGGCGAGCAAAGAAAAAAAATTAAAATTTTGCGATGCTAAAGGTCTAAAGGGGTCATTGCGCAAAGAAAAATCTATGATTGTAATCATTGATTGTATATATAATCTCGAGTTACGGTCGGTGCCAGACACTGCCAGTGTAGTATAACATGTATGTATTATTTTGATTTTCCCGAATTGATAACTTAGGCAATGTTTAGTAGATAAATAAATGCTGTATGTAAATGCCTTATATGAGTAAGGCACCTTTTCGTTGAAAAGGAAATCTTTTGATTACATTTATGTAAATCCAATGCTTTCAGAACGTCAGACATATAGACTTTACATGTTCATATTCCCGAATTAATCCCGCCATCAACAAAACCGGAAGTAAAATTCTAGTGCTTTCTTGCCCCAGGGGAATAGGCACAGGCCACGTCTGTTTATATTTTCGAATAGCGTGGTTCCTAAGCTTTATTTTGATACTAAACATGGCCGAGTTACTCGAAGGTTCCATTGTTAAAATTGGCCTTGTTTATCTGCAATTTCGTTTTGTCGTGAAAATTATCGCCATGAAAATTTGCTGTCACAGCTTCAAAAATTCGCAGTGTTCATTATAAAAATGGAACAAGTAAACCAAAGAGTATCTCTCCCAAATTTTTTGTGGATATAGTATGGTGTGTGTTGTAAATGACCCGAGATGTGCAAATGTTGCCAAGAACGTAAGAACCATGCACGGCGGCACAAAATCATCGCTAAATGGGCAAATTTAGACAAAATTATATAGTTTCTACTAGCCAAAGTATCGCTGAAAACAGTTTTAAAATGGAACATACAAAACGTGAGATATGGATAAAATAATTGTAGCATTTAAGTACGACGGCTCTTCCGAAGCAAACTCGAGATGTGCAAACTCGTTATAGAGGATACCAATAGCTATATTTTTAATTTTTTGTTTACACTCCTATAATTTCTACTACCGCGTGGCGGCCATGTTTGATTGTATTGTCCAAGCATGCTCAGTAGCAATGTCCGCAATTTCTGGCCATGGGATCAACTTGAGTCGTTCCTTAAGAAATTGGCAGGCAAATTCATACGTATTCATGCCATTGCAGCTGCAAATAAAGTGTGTGAGATATATTTCTCAGATGATGGAAATATAAAGGAAGAAGACAAGATGTTTGTGGGAATTACAACACAGGGAAAGATGATGAAGATGCTCAATGATGGAGATTTAGATCCTCAACAGGTAGAATTACAGTAATACTGCAGAATAATATATTGATAGTTCAGTTCAGGCAGATTATTATTAGTCCATTTATAGAGCATATTATTCAGTGTTTCATTCATTCAGTCACCTTTAATTAATCATTCTTTTACATCTAGGTGCAAAGATTCTATGATGCAGTTGGTGCGTTTTACAGAGCTGCTGCACAGTATGCTGTGGCAAAACTTCCATTTCATGACAAAGTTCTGGAGAATTCTCGTTTTGTTAATTTTGAGAAACGCAGAGAGCATGAATTCACAATGGTCGATTTCTTTCTACAACGATTCCCAGATCATCTAGAAATGAGTGTTGAAGAGCAAGAAAAACTGCAAGAACAGTTCATAGACTATCAACTTTTGTCAAATGATAACATCCCCCCAACATGTCTGGAATGATGTGACTGTGAAAACGGATGAAGATGGAACAGCTTGCCTATTTCGAATGGATGTCATTTGGGGGCATTTGAACGCAACCAAATCTGCTGATGGTACACCTCGATTTGATTTGTTAGCGCGAGTTGCTTTAACTGTACTGTGCCTTCCTCACTGAAATGCAGAAGAAGAGCGAGTTTTTAGCATGATTGAAAAGAACAAATGGGCAGAGCGTTCAAGCCTTCAGGTTAAAGGAACACTTTCATCAATAATGACAGTGAAGCTTGCAGATTTGAATGCTAAGACTTTCACGCCTCCAGTGTCCATCTTAACTCTTTGCATCACAACCCAGTCTCATCGATCTCGAGAGATCGACGGCTTCGAAATTTCATACCTTCGGTTTAGTGCGTGCTATGAAGACAGAAATACCACCATTCGATTCAGAAATAAAAGATCAACTAGTTCCAAACGATAGTTATAGCCATTATTAACATTGTAGCGATTTATCGGCCTTTGAAAGTCCAACACGATCATATTGTATCAAATTACGCAATTGTCTGAACAAAAATATAGACTAGCCATACCTTTCGCCGAAAGTAACTTCGGCCCCTTCGAACATATCGTCTTTGTAATAGGCTTGTTAGAATTCCCATTAAAAACACTATTTAGAGTGTTATTTGCAAGCCTGTATCTTCAAATCTGTATCTTTTATCAGTATATTTCCATTTCTTGTCCGACTGTGAGCTCGAAGTGAGTTAATCCCAACCGGAAATACGTCTTAAAACCGTCAAAACAATGCGACGTTTGTATCGTATGACCCTGCAAAGGCTAGAAATGGATTCGAAAGGTCAAATTGCACCTACACGCGTGAGTTTGACGTCATCCCGGCCAAAGGAGCTTCTTATTGGCCAATTATTGCGCAATGTACGCAAGTGCGAGTAAAACCCGACATCTTGAAAAATTCAAAATAAATATTTCTAGTCGGCGTGATACGAAACTTTCTACACGACAGCGCTTGAATACAAAGAGATTTTTATACATATAGCCGTTCAGCAAATGTCAAAAAGTTCAAGGGCTATTCAACATCTAGTGGATATGAAATTTAGAATCCGTGGCCAAGCGGTGAGTGAATATATGATAGTTTCTGTTTGGGTAATGTTCTGACGGCACTTGACCCCCCGTTCGAAAGGTTATTTTATGAGGATTACAATGGTGGCTTTTATTTAAAAGGGGGGTAAATACTAGCCGAGACATTTATTTTTGAAAAATTGTGTCGTAATATGATGCGAAAGGGGGTGGATGTGAAATTAAAGTATATTTGATCACTCTGGGGTGATCAACGCCGGGAGTGTTGTTAGAAATATATATTTTATTTCTTTTTTCTACGCGAGGTAGGGAATCGTTTACAATCAATCTCTAGTAACTATCAGTTTTTAGTGTTCGTCTTCTTGTAGTAGTTTCCTAAAGTTCACTTCATTTCACTCTAGTCCACTGTCCATTTGGGAGATCATCCACTGTCCTCTGACGAATTTCGGTTGTGCACGCACTTTTATACTAACGGTTGAGGGATCTTTGTACATGTGGTATAGCAAGTGGTGTGAGTTATATCCAGCCAATCAACGTTGAGGTTTAAAAGTGTGGGTTGGCGTTGCTAGCTCGTTCCAGCCCTCAAATTCTGTTTATTTAAGGCGTTGTCGCACTTGTCGAGTTGGTTCGCTGTTCAATCGATCATCATTACAATATGTTCACAACTTAAAATACTCATCAAAATATCATAGTAAAAACTTCAAACTATACCTATGTGAACCTTACTTTATCTACTAAACTAAATTTACTTACAATTTTATTGAACCAAGATTTTGATGACGTAATGTTATTCTTACTCAACCGCGCGAAATATACCGAAGAATGATTGACAGAAAGGCCCTAAGCATGCACATTTTCATGTCAGAGAAGAACCAGCCTTGGACTTTGAATTATGTAAACACAACAGCCCACCATGCAAGGCTATCGTCCATCTTTGACAAATTGACAAATTATTTATCTTGCCTAATGGACAGATAATTGACACTTTTACACAAGTCCGAAATGATATATACTTTATCTGAGTTTTACAGCAAAAATGCTCATTATCTCTCCATTTGACGTAACTAGTATCTATAATTACCTGGGGTGCAAATTGAACTATTTTTATACTATTTGGATATACTTTCGTAACAGTGTGATAAACTGTGAGACATGAACAGAGTTTCAATAACATTTGTTGCGTTTGGCCGACGATCACGGCTTACTGAGCTCACCGAAACATAAGAGTTTAAGACTGTTTTATAATGATATGAACTTTATTAAGTTATTAAAGGATGAATCACACTTGCTTTATGATGGAACTCCTGTTATTTGGACAGGGGAACCACATTTGTTAAAGAATTTCGTCGAAAGTACTGTCGGTTGGGCAGGGAACTGGTTTTCACCGGGCGGCAGAGCTAAACAATTCAAAAGTAAAAACCATGATCTTACTATGACTTGGTATCCGGGCAAACTAAACTCCTTATTGTTCCACGGAAAGGATGGAGACATGTTTAAAGAATTTCTGGTAAGTGTTTTGGAACAAACAAAGGTGTATACAGACTGTTTATCCCCTACAGTTGCGGATGCGTTGCTAGAAACCGAGCCTCCCCTGGTCGAATGAATCAAAACTGTTAGTGAAAATAGCGTTGATCCTAACCAATCTCCCCCAGAGAATCATACTTGCGCCTGTAGATCTTATACTGCAAATCTAAAAGATGTCAAATTAGACATTGCAGTTATACAAAAACAAATAGAATCTATTAATCGGGTCATAGATTCCACAAACAATATTATAGAATCTATGAGTGTTATCTTGAGCCCCTCAGGCACGGAAAGCCATCAAATATCCTACGACCTTAGAGTTGAAACATTGCTCAGAGAGTTTTTGTCAATTTTAAACGAAAAAAAACAGAGAATTGGATAAACGAGATAATATTATTAATAGTCTTCAAGAAAAATTAATCAAGGTTGAAAGCGAATATCAAAATGTTGAATCCCTAGTTGCAGAACGCCATGAACAAGAACAATGCCAACACAATAGAAATCATAATTGGCTTATTCATTATGAGAGCAGAAGCAATTTACCTCATACTCAGGCGGATGATTCCAATATAAATATGCAAAATCAAGAAAATAGTGAAAATTTACATCTGGTCAATAACAATGAAATTGTCCAAATTAAAACTTTTTCTGATAAGGTTCAATCGCCCCCTCCACGAAAGGTTAAATCCGGACTTAAAGATTCGGTCGAGCTGAAACTACAACCTGTGCCACACGAACCACCTACCTCTAGATCTAATGAACGCTCTCAACAGGTTTTTCTGCCCTTAATGAGTAGCATACCAACATAGCAACAGCCGCAAAGTTCCTATAAGGACATAGCTAACAGCGCACCTGAAGATACTGGTGAAGGGAAAATGCAATCTAAAGCTACTAAGGACGATCGAATGTTATTTCCACCTTACACACTCAGCTCACACCAACCGCAACCACGACGTCCACAACCGCATATAAATTATTCTCGGACTCGCCCTCGTACTAGACCAGCTCAAACACGAGACCGGCATAATTCCCGGGTTACTACCCCACAATGGCACCTCAAACAAAATACTCCACCTCTTGTTTCGGTGAATAGGCAGGCAAATTTTCGGAAGAGCCGCTTAAAGCACAGACCCCCTGGCTGGAAAAATTTCTTGTCTTAGTCAGCCAAATAACCAGGACGCAATAACGAAGGTGAATAAGATCCCTGTGAGAATTACATCTAATCGAACACGTAATTGTATATCAAGGCACAATGTCCCTAATTCACTCACAAATAACTCCAATCTAATTGAAATAAGAACTGAAATGAATGCATCTGGTCAAAATAAGCATACAACTACGTCCAAAAATCAGTTCTATCGCAGCCAATAAATCTGGTTTTCAAAAATCGAAAATTAATATTGCACATTTAAATATTTGCTCTCTAAAAAAGAGGGAACATTTAATTCAGATAAGACTTCTAATGCAGGAAAATAAGTTTGATGTACTTGCCGTGTCGGAATCTTGGCTTACGGCCAGCGTGAGAAATGAAGAGGTTGAAATTTTCGGATACAGTCTATCTAGATTGGACCGGCGAGGGTGATCCGGTGTGTGTGTGTGTGTGCCTATATCAAAAGCTCGTTGAAAAAAAAGGTGCTTAGGGATTTAACAGAAATTTCAGAATCTGGTTTTTCATCAGTTATGGTTACAAATTCATCATAAAAAATTGAAATCTTTTCTATTATGCGTTTGTTACCGACCTCTAGATAGTCCTGTATCTTGTTTTACCAATAATTTTATGGATAATTATATCAAAGCACTCACTTTTGGTAAAGATATCATAATTGCTGGAGACTTAAATTGCGACTTGTTAAAGACAGCTCAAGAGGCAAAGGTTTTGAATGATTTTTGTCACTGTTTAAATTTGACACAGTTAATTGATAAACCGACGAGGGTCACGTCACGTTCGTCAACGCTTATTGATGTCATGATGACTTCAAATAAAGATTTGATTGCAGAAAGTGGAGTGCTTGAAACCTACATTAGTGATCATTTTCTGGTTTACTGTTCACTCAAACTAAAGTTGATAAAACCGCTGTTTAAAACCGATATCACTGCAAGGAGTTATAAGCATTACGACCGAAACCAATTCCTCTGTGATTTGGCATGTATTCCGTGGCATGAGAATTTATTTGTTGAAAATGTAAATGATAAACTGTCGCATTTTGATAGTAATTTTCAAAATGCATTGACTAGGAATGCACTAATTAAGACAATGAAAATAAGACATCGACAAGTACCATTTGTTGACGATGAGATCAAAGAACTGATGAAAAATAGAAATAGTTACACAAATTTGCTCGTCTAACCCGAATGCCAGCTGATTGGGAGAAATATTGTGCGCTTCGAGATAAAGTTAAATGTAAGCTACGCCAAGCAGAAAAAAGATTATGTACACAATAAAATATATAATAACCCAAATATAGCATCGATGTCGAAAGTCATCAGGAGCTGCGTTCCTCGTAAAGAGACCACGAAACCAAGTTATTCCGGAGATGTTAAGAAATTAGCTAATGAATTCAATACCTTTTTTACCTCAGTGGGGATAAATACATCAGCAACTGCATTGGCATTGCTTACTGAAGATGGACTACCCATCCTGAATCCACCAACATCTACCGAAATACCTGAGATCGATCAGTTTTATTTCCATTCAGTATCGTGTAGTGAAATAAGTATAGGTTATTTTGAGGCAACGAGGGGATATGTGATTTATTCACCGAAGCGCGTAGCGTCGAGGTGAATAAACACATATCCCCGAGGTGCCTCAAAATAACGTACTTATTTTTCACACTGCGAGGTTGCATTAATGAGTAAGAATAGAAATAATTCTTAATGTCATATTGCCTTCGTTATGTTGTTTTTTTCTCATTTTTTTGTGATGCAAAGACATTGCAGGTGAATATTAGAGGGGATTATTAATTGCAGGTGAATATTAGAGGGGATTATTAAACGGAAATTGATTAGAGGGGAATATTGAATATATTCCCGGATAAGAACAAAGGAAACCGAGCAGGGTGAAAAATAAGTAGGGTTGTTATGTCCTTTTCATCAAATAAGGCACCAGGATTTAACAAAGTATCAATGGCTGTGATCAAGGACGCCTTACCGTACATCCTTCCTACACTTACGCAAATTGTTAACTGTTCCCTGGAAAGGCAGCCTGGAAGAAAGCAGAGGTTATCCCACTTCTGAAGGAAGGAGATTATGAAATTCCGAATAATAATCGGCCCGTGTCGTTGTTAGTGGCTGCATCTAAGATCTGTGAACGCGTGCATGGTACTCGGAAACAGTTAACAGAGTATATGCATGACAAAGAGGAAAAAATTTACTAAACATCAAAGTGGAAATAGGAAGTTACATTCAACCGAAACATTAAACATATTCATCTCAGATTTAATTCTCCAGTCCATGGATCGTAGAGAAGTGACTGCTTTACTCTTACTGGACTTGTCTAAAGCTTTTGATAGCTTAGATCATTTCATTCTGCTAAGAAAACTTTCGAATATTGGAATCTCGAAGCCTGCGTTGTTTTGGTTTAAAAGCTATTTGACAGGCAGGTGCCAATCAGTACGTATTGCGTCAGTGTTATCTGATGAATG